TAGCATAACAGTCGCGTTGCATACTGTCGCGTATCTGTCAGTCCAGTGATTAACATAACAAACGCACAATAACGTGGGGATTATTCCTATCCAGTAAGATCGACTTGCGGATGCGCGGATAGGCTAAGAACTTTGACAATTCGTCTGGATCTATGCACACGTATCAATGCACAAAAGAGAATAATTTATAATAAATTTCCCTTGCGTTTTAGAAATTCTATGCAATGTGGATTGGAACGATATCGATTGTTATTCCGAATAAAATTGTACATTTATTTTTAAATTATAACAACGTGAAAAATTATTCGAATTGATGAGAATATAAAAAGTCTAATAATTAGGGGAGAATTTTAGAGGTATCGAACTAATTTATATTCGCCCAATAAATATGCAACGAGTTATAAAAGAATTATTAATGAAACGTTTGATACTTCTTTTTCTCGATCGATCAACAATGGAATGTTTTTCAATTCTTTCATGTATATTTTAACAAGCAGAAAATTAATTACCATAATATATACGAATAATATCTGCCCTCATTAAATTTTTATTATAAAATAACACGATACGATCTTCCAGAACGTTTACCACCTATCAAGAAATTCCAAAAAAAAAATAATTGTTTCCAAACGTTCGAATTTCAAACACGATTATTCTTCGAACAATCAACATACGCGATAAATAAAACTTCAAACGTTTCGGAGATAAATAAAGAAAGAAGAGAATACACGGTGTGTACGGCAAAATTAAAAATACAATGAAATAAACGCGTAAAGGGATTCGGTAAACGTTCGAAAAATATTCAGGGAAGCGACGACACGACGAGTGGTAAAAAAGGCAACGTTAACGTTCCACGGATGACGCGTTTCATTAGAGAAAAGGCACGGTGCCGTAATTAGATTCCACTGTTTCAACGTTCCCGTATACAAGGTAAACTTCATCGTGAGTTACGTCTGTTTTGCACGCCTTTCGCCATAATCCGCATCCACTGCAGGCAAGAGATGGTTCGGATTTGAACCGGGGCTCGGTTCAAGAAAGATAGATTCGAATATTTCGAACCTCCTCCCCGTTTTTCTCGCCACTCTTCGTAGCTATTAACGATTCCTCGCGAGATATTTTAATAGCCGCGAGCTAGGCGAAATTTTCTCTTTGCCGCCAGTTTCTCCACGAGGGAGGGAAGAGGTCGCAATTAACACACAGGCATTGTTTCGTAATTTACATTAATAATCGTCTTCCAAGCTATTATCGTACGGGGTGTATATTTAGGAATCAATGTTGCAGATATCGATTTAATACTTTCGCGTAATCGGGTTAAGGGAATATTCTTCTCTCGGTATTTCGAATGGTATATTGAAAAATTTAAATAATCAAGAGATGTGGGAATTGGAGTTAATACGTTTAAGAAGCGTGATGTTTTATTTCGAAATAAAGTTTCCGCACGAATTGAAAATTTAAAAATTCCTTCCCACCTCGTGATATTAATGATTAAATATAATATTAGGTTGTAATAACGTTTCGTGATCGAAAGAAAGTGGGAATAAATTATATATCGTGTTCGAATAGAATGAGCGAGTAAAATAAATTTCCTTTGATGGTAGGGAAGCAAATTTTATGGAGATGTCGTGCAAAATTTTCCGATCCTTCGACGCAAATATTTTCATAACGTTCTTCTTTCGTCTCATTAAAAAAAATTACTTGTTCCCCACCGATCATCACCGCCTCTTTAACAATAATTAAATATCCTACACCATCTCCTAAACACCAAAAAAACTTTCAAAAACTTCTCCAATCCCCCGCAAAAATTAAAAATTATTTCAAATATAATCGCTCGCACATCGTCTCTCACGAAACGTACACACAATTTGTAAAACGCTCGCTGCAACAACTTGAAATCTGGAAAACAGAATTTCCCCTCCCTCCCCCCTCGAAGCACGTACGTATCGTTACGTTAGTCAACTTATGCTCCTTAGTTAGTACGTAACGATAGGTGGCACGCATCTCGAAGCCCAAGGATTATTCATAAGAGAGTCGGGGAGGGGAGGCAATTTAGAAAGTTGGCGGAAACTCGGGTGTTCGAAAGACAAGCGCGTACATGCACATTTCCCGGCAAGCTTCCCACCCCCTCGAGTACGCCCACGCCCGTACTTACGGCACTTAAGACACCACGATTTACAACGTTTACAGCCGCGTCAAATTCGCTTAATTCTTTGCAAGGCCTTTGCTACGATACATCTTAATAATTACGCGCAAGTTCGTTAAACGCGTAATTACGTCATACCGGTTCATTAACACGGACCCACCGTTCGAGTGCACTAGGATTCTGTGTCGTAATTATAACTTGGGCCGGATTCGAGAGAGGATCGCGAAACGTTTTCGTTACTGTATTGGTGTGCTCTCCTCTTTCGATGATTATACGTATATTCCAGAAATATTGCTTTGGACGGGTACTCGAGAGTATCTTACTTTTGACAATATCTTTGAAGTTCATTTTTTTTTTTTTTTAATAAAGATACTGCTTTCGAGTAAAGATTATAATTGAATTAAATGAGAGAAGTAATATTTAGTATAAGGATTATTAGATTTTCCATTCTCAAGTGCAATATCTCAATATTTATTCGAAGTAAATATTAGAAAATTATCTATACTTAAAAATACATTAGTTAATAAAAAAGTTAAATCATCCTATGGTGTATATAATTTGAAAATATTCTAATTTATAACTCGAAGCTTCGAATGAAATCCAAAGTTGTTCCAAAACTTTCAGGATTTTTCAGGGAATTATTCCGATTTTTTTCTCAATTTCAACCGTGCAGTTTTCCTCTCCGTGAAACGTTCCGTTCCGCCGATAACCGGAATACTAGCTTAAGATAAAAAATTTTTCCACAAAGGAAGGAGCGCATCGAAGAAGGTGGAAATCGCGGTGGAACCGAGGAGGTCGGACTCCTTCGTTTGTCGTCCACTTTTCCCGCCCGTTTTACAGGGAACAGTTTGCACTGTTCGGGCGGCGGGGAATCGGATCGTTTCTCCGATCCACTTACGCCTTCCTCGACGCCGTCGGAAACGTTGCCGTTATTACCCCCCTCTCCCCCCTGTACGCCATATGTGTACAAGGCTCGAGGGCCTCCGTTCGAAACTCCCAAGTAAACGTGCGCCGTTTCTCCGACCACCACGAACGATAATCGACGGAGGGGATTCGTTGGCGCTGGCCATCCACCGTTAACCTGAAATTGTTACGTGTGTAACGAAGTGATAATGCAACGATGAACAACGATGTACGAAGACTTCGGGATGTGAATTTTCTCTTGATGATTTGTTGTCGATTCACGGAACAGGGGGAAATTTTTGCGTATTTTTTTGGGGGGGAAAGGATTGGGAATGGAGAGAATGGAATTGTTGAAATAATTTCGATATTTAGATCCGTCGAGTTGTTAAACGATAATATTTCACGGTCTCAGAAATCTATAATTTAATATGAATTATGTATGAGAAGCGTTTCACAATCTGATCGCGAGCTAACGTGTTCCACTTCCCGCTCTGTTCGCCCATACGTACACTTATTCTACTTGTTTCCCGGGCGTAGTGATTTATTTGGCTTGTACGGGCAATGTAACAGACCGGTATATTCGATAACTGGCGCTCCTGATGTATCCGGTTGTTGCACTTTTAATCTTCGACCGTGCATGCACCCTCCATTTCTTCGATCAAGAATAAAGGAGTAACAGGATTGGAAAGGAAATAAAAGTGTAAAGAGGGGTTTCGAGTAAAAGTCTCTTTTCGAACATTGAGATCATTTCGGTTAAGTTGAATCTACATTCACAACCGCGAATTCGCAAGATTTCTCACGTCTATCTTAATTGTAAATTTTAAAGTTCAATTAACGGGATGAAGTAGTACAACGACCTAAGAGCGAGGAAGATATATTAATTTCCGCATAAATGTACAAGTCATGTGAAAGAAACAAGCAAACTGCATTACGCATTGTGTTATGCATTCTAGTAAGCAAATGTTATCCGAAAGATCTTCGAGAATTCGAGAAAAGAGACATAATTATCTTAATCACGTGAACAAAAGAAATAAAACACTGAGATATTTCTGTTACAGCAGCAATTCTTTCTGAAAATTCATCGTGAGATGGTTCAAGATGAGAATCAAGGATCGTTTGAGAAATCACGTAAAGATCATCCTTAAAGTGTTTTGATTTTAAAAAGAAAACAAACAGCACAGGGAAAAAATATATAACGCATATTCCTCTATTCCTCTATTAATCCACCTTCGATTCCCTCAAATTATTCTTTTTCACTTATTTAACTTCAATTTCCAATCCTGATGCACCCGATGATAGGAAAAAAAGAAAAAGAGAAAAGAAAACCTTGTTCACCCTCCTGCGAAACGATCAACAGCTAATTTCGATCGTAGCCAACTACGAGGTGGCCGACGCCACGTGATTGGTCTATCCGCGCGGCCGCGAAATCGCATTAACTTCGGGTTAATATCCGCGGAAATCGCGGCCTCGGATCACCGGACAATTATCGTGGCCCGACAGCGAACACCGGCCAATCGTGGCCCACCATTTTCATCCTAGCTGCATCATGCACCCTCGTAATTCCTCCCCCTCCCCTCCCCCCCGCGAGATGCCACCATTTTCAAACCTTCCTCCCTCCCTCGCCTCGTTTCGATTAGCCCCTTCTTTTTTCTCCTTCTCGTTCTATTTCCAACCGGTTGATTACAGTTCCATGAAAATTTTAAAGAAATAATTTTCGTATCGAACGTATTGATCGAATCGCGTCATCCATCGAAATTTTACAGGATGCATTTTAATCGTGTGCATTGGTTTTTCGATAAACTTGTTTCGAAACACTTGTTTGACTATACATTCTTTCTTCTTCAAGAAGATTTAGAGTAATAAAGATAGGTTTAATGATCGGGTACAGGGGAACAATAGATAGATCACGGAAATAGAAGGGATACAAGAGTCGTATAAAGTATAATAACGGTCGAGCGAGGAGCGAGGATGTATTATTGATTGTGTACTTGATCGCAATTTCCAGCAAACCGTTCAAGCTTCATTTCCTACGCGCAAGTATCCCGAGAGAAATCTTGCCAAATATGTGTGTTCCTTGAAACGATACAGCATACGTTGGGAATTACTTTCGTTCTACTAGAATCCACTGTAAAACATTTCCCTGTCCTGGAATTCGTTTCCAAACTTGTCTAACTAACAATTGTATTTCCAAAAACTGATCCCTGTTAAAACGAAAGCATCACGCATATAATTCCTCTGGTACGAACTTTCAACATAGAAGAGAAGAAAGAATCGTTGCACATAAATAATAATAACACACACCGTTTGAAAAAATTAAATCGTCACGTTAAAATCGCGGTGCAAATCTTCGAGAATCTCTCGAGAGAGAGATCGGATATCGTCGGTCAATCCTCCGGAACGCGCGAATTCGAGGATTCTCGACACGGGAGAGTCGTAATGCGGCCCTCGTCGAGGAAGTTCTGGCCGATTCAAACTTCCCAACTGCGATTTAGTAAACAGTGAGGCGATATCGGCCGGATTAAGCGGTTCCACGCTGATTTCCTCGCACGGGGAGGAAATGAGCCGCGAATGCTCAACGAAATGATAAAGCTCGACTCACACGACGCGAAATGACCGATCGTTGGATTTGTAATTTGTAGATTTGATTCCATTCCAAATTTCTCGGAGGAGGACAATTGACGATAATATTTGAGCTTATCGATAAAATTATCGATAGTGTTAGAGAGAATTGAGTTTGGAAAGAAAGGGACGGCGATGTTTCTTCTAATTGGATTTTTCTCTTTTTTTCTTTTTTTTTTTGGTTCGTGTTCAAAGTGCGAAAGCAGGCAAGCTGAAACGAGCAGTTTATCATGGTTACTATCTATCATAATTAAAGCCACGTAGCTGCAGATTATGCGCGACGCTATGTCGCTTATCTTTAAAATTTAATCTCGTTAATGTTATCCAACCAAATTCTACGCGTTTCGATATTTCGAGATTATTTTCCAGGATACAGTTTCGTTACAATCATTGTTCAATGTAAATATTATAATTGAAGTGAGTATACAGAACGAGAAAATTTCTTTTCCATTCTTCCTCGATCTCTTTGCCTCCAATTCTTTTTCAATTTCTCGTCGACGGTTTAAAAAATTGAAAAAAGAACGCGTGTGAAACGATATTTATCGCGCGGCAACGATTTATTGTAAGCCATAACCAAAGTCGAAATTTAGCCATCGTTTACGCTAACTGTTAATTAGAGGGATAACATATATATCTATATATAATTTATAACAACACGAGAACGCGTTCCATTTCCAAGTGTGCGGCCACCATCCAACTCCATTGCGCCCCTCGAATTTCGACATAAATTCAAGTAAATTCCTAGTCGATTGCCCACCGTTATTAATTAAACCGACGCAACGCGTTCGATGCATTTGCCTGGGCCGTTCGATCGGTCGTAGAGGAACGTAGAGAAACAATGGTCCACCACTTCATTATAATTGTAACTCCGCTCGCCTATGAATTCGTATAATCTGTCGTCGACACGATGGCCCAGTTGCCGGTACGCTGCCCGGAAATTGGGATCGATTCCTGGGAGAGAGCGAAGGATCGGTGGTTATAATTGGGTGGAAGCGTTAGAAATAATTTCCAGTTGCGAATTTCCAACGTGGATGGAACGTATTTCGGGATATAATTTAGTTTTCGATCGTTTTCGAGGATGAATTACAGATATCTCCTTCTAGAAATTGTTGAAGGAACAATAAGTAAAATATACGTATCGAAGAAGAACAAATAGACACCAACTATGAAATAGCAATGCTGGCAATAATGAATTAACGCAATTAAAATTTCAATGAGTTTTAAATTCTGTAACAGAAATAATAATTCGACGAAACTTTTAATTCATTCATGAAACGGACAAATATACGAAATTTAAAAATTTCCTCTCAAAAAATACACGTGACAACGAATAACGTGTCTCTGATAAACATTCTGACCAGCAGCGGCATCTCCATGCTCCTGGAGACAGGATGGTGGCCGGAAACGGAAATTCTCGCAGACGAGGTTCGGCCAGGGTTAATGCGGCACGTTGAAATATTCCACGGGCGCAAAAATACGACGGCAGTTCCCCCCCTTTGCTTAGATTTCATTTCCAGGCTGGCGACCGGCCAAGGAGTCTCGATACAAAAGCCGCGGATCCGCGAAACGTATCGAGAAAAAAACCTGTTCCGCTTTTCGGAATGTTCCCGGGACGAGACTCGATGATGATGCTTTTTGACTCGATGCTCGTACGTTGATACAACAAGGGAGAAGAACAGAAGAATGAAAGATTGGAACGAGATGATTCTTATATTTTTTTCACGCTTTCCGTGTTGCGTCCAATGTTTTAGTTTACGATTGTAAAATTGAAATTCAATCAAATTTGAAAGGAGGTAATTTGAATAAATGATAAGGGACTCGGAGAAAAAGTTAAAAGCTGAAAGATGTTGAATTTCTGAAACTTGATTCCGGAAAAATTAAATATTCTTCTTGAAAAATAGTCGAGAAGAGAGCGATTTGGAGGATAGAAAAATATACAAAATCACAAAAAGCGCTCTGGGATAATAATATTGCGGTTTGTGTTAACGCTCAGTAAAAAAAAGGTAAGTGTCCTGAAGCGTCCACGCGCTCCCAAAACGCGCGTTAAGGAAGATTACGCGAAACGTTTAACGCCGAAATCCAGGGTTTCCCCTGTTTAGATTTAATTCTCGACCTGGCTCCCTGCCAAAGAATCGTGGCGTTGCCGGAGCGCGACAAACATTATATCACCGTGATCCTCATATCTATCGCGTCGCGCGACAAAATAAAGGAAACCGTGTCACGCGTATTACGTAGGAGAACGTATTGCTCCTTCTCCCCCTCTCCATGATTGTTCGAAAATGTTAATGGAAATCAACGGGTCCCGATTTTTCGATCCTGCCAGATGATAAAATTTTTCGTGCATCCGAGCGAATCTCTCCTCCTCGTATTTACATTCGATCAATTTTTCACGGAACAACGTGATGCGTTCAAAGATTGTTCGGCTTGCAAATGGGATGACAGTTTTCCAATGGTCATATTATCGAGGATAAATGGAAATGAAAAAAAAAAAAAAAAAGGAAAATTGCAACCTGATGTTTTGACTTGACGTTTCCCTCGATATTACAAGTCAGACATTCCCTGTTGATTTATATTGCTAGAGAGCCAGTTTCGTAGGAAATGTGCAAAACGCGCGTCCATTTTTATACTTTTAAAGTTAATCGTTTAAACGAATTAAAAAAATAACAGGCGCATAAATCTTCTAGTTTTTTTTTTTTTGTCTTGTGAACAAAATTAATAAATACATTTGCAAGCGAATATTTCACGAAGAAACGAGAGAGAGAAATGCTCAATCAACGAGAAGGTTGGAAAAAGAGAGAGAGAAAGATGAAAGCAAAGGTTTTTGCGCGGGCTTTGCTAAGAAGAGGGGAAGACACGAAGTGGATGATGATGTGGGCGGCGCATCGAACGTCCCGGTGAACATCGAAAGTTAATTACAGCTTACTATCTCAATCGTTTCTTCACGAGCTGTTTTTTTTTTTCCCTCCCGTATCGTTAAGGATTTTACGTCCCCTTTCATTGTCGCCCGCCACTCGGAAGAAGCCGAGGAAACGGGAAGGAAAGAAAGAAGTTTCTCGCCTCTCATCCGAGAACGAGTTTAGCACAACGCGGTACAATTCAACCCAAGGTTGCTCCAACGAGATGCTACGACTCCTCTTAATGGAATCGTCGATAGATTAACTTTCAAGAAATTAGGGAGGAAAGTGTCGCTCTTATTTTTTCTCCCCTCTACTCCGTTTCTCGTCGTTTTATGGAAACGAAAACGTTTGATCGTTTCCAATTTTTCTTCGTGGAATGAAAAGTTGTCATCGCTCTTTGGAATCGATTAGAAACATTTCTTTCGATTATATAAATGATTTTTTTACGATAATATATCGCTATACTTTTAAAATAAATAGTAAACAAATTTCTTTTTTTTTTCTTTTCCTTTTTGAAGATTTTTAAGAGAAATCAGGAGCGTAGCAGAAGCAAGTTCTCGAAACATCGTGATTTCAATTGCGATGTTATCTTAACGGTTGTTCAAGTGCCTCTATTAAAAGTTTCCTCGTTCATCCTGTATTCGGATTAAATACGAACGAATCTTTTCACAACTGTCGCGTAACTTTAATCGTCACCTTTCGCGCGATACATCCAGCTAATTTAAATTTCAAAAACATGTTGTAATTTTGTCGTCGTGTCCAGTTTATTTTCCAGTTGCACGTTATTCATCGCGAGATTGATACGGTTCGACAAAAATTCCAAATCGGATTTCAAACTGTTTTAAAATATTACCTCGCATCGCCAAACATCATGGGCTACCCTTCTCACTATTTTCGCGGGAATAGATTGCTCACGACGAGGAATTCTCCACAGAATCGCGCGTATTTAATCCAGGATGCCAATAGAAAAATTAAAAATGTAGATGCAATTATCCATGGAGGGAAAATCCTTTAAAACGAGCGTTAAAAACGCGAAAGGAAAATTTTGCACAGATTTTATCCTCCATTTTCTTAATTTTTCAATTTTTCGTATTGCGGAGAGAAATAAATTTAGACGGCTTAATCAAGGAAGATCTATTTTATTTAAAATTCGACATTAGCGCAATATAATAGGAAGGGAATGATTACGAAGAATAATGAAAATCGAATCGCTTTGTGAGATTGAAATAATTTCAAAAATACCTTAGAATTACACAAGATCAAATTTCTATAAATACAGAAAGAAACTTAAACAGAGATTTGTTTCTCAAACAGAAATTTTAGAAATTTAATTTATTTAATTTAATAATTTAACGCATCGATATTGGTTTCGTTTCAGATTTGGTTGAAACGAGATGATGCAAGTGAAAAATTGTAAATTTAATGAAAATATGTTTAATATTCAACACAACAGGATGGAATTTGTTAATTATTAATGCTTTTTATATTTCGAATATTCAATAAATATAGTATAAACATTACCTCCATTAATTGTATTATTCTACATTGAATTATATCGTCGTTATTTTACAAGAATATGAAATAAAATGTAACACCGGGTTTATAATTTATCAAAATTGGAAGGTAACGTCAAGTTCAAAAATCGTCATCTGAATCTCTAAGGAGAGAGGAAATCACGTTTAGGTATAAGTTCCGGAAGTATTAGGGGGAGGAGGGGCGCCAGCCAACCGTGGTTTTTCACACGTAACATCGTAACACGCGGCGTTACATAATGTTGTGGCGAGTCGTCGAGTTGCAGCCAGCGCCAGGCCGCATTGTGAATTCTCATCGCGGTCCAAATGTTTGCCGTCTCGCTCCCACTCACCGCCACTTTACCCCGTTTTATCCTGTGAGCCGTTTCCACCGCCCTCCTCGCCCACCACAGTTACAAAAGAAAAGCGACGGAAAGTGTCACCCTGAGCCACGTGTTAATTTTCACACACACACACATACGGTTAACAAGTTTACAACGCGACGTTTGTTCGTCGAAGTGAATTTCTCGATTGAAAAAATTTAGAAATTTAATTTATGAACGTATCGATATTGGTTTCGTTTCAGATTTGGTTGAAACGAGATGATTCAAGTGAAAAATTGTAAATTTAATGAAAATATGCTTAATATTTCAACGCAGGATGGAATTTGTTAATTATTATTGATACTTGAATTATTGGAATTATCGGTAGGATTATATAATGCAATACGCTCGGATTACGAATTGTAATCTTTTGTTATATGATATTCGTTTGATACGTTTGATATTTTCGTTGAAATATCACTCGTTGTTACTTTTTTATGGATAGGATATTTTTATCAAATTGATAGAAATGCTAAGATCGAATGTTAAAACTACTATGTTAACTATCTCTTTGGTAAGTCCTTTTTATAGTGGTCACTTTCTTCAAAACCGTTTCTGTTCTCAATATCCTGAAACTTTCTGAAAGTTCCCTTTCTACTGTATTCTAAATAATGTATCAGTATTTATTCTAAATCCAACTTCATCCATTCTCCACTAATTTAATATTTTCTCTTGGTACATTCTATCGAATAATTGTCGTATTTCATCTCTCAAATTACGATCGTTTATAAGCCACGAAAACACCAATACACAAATAAATACAATCACTCAAGTGAACAATTTTCGTCGTTCATTCTCCTGTACTGATTCCATTACTACACCTCGTTTCGATCCAATCATTGGATCCAGTAGAAAAGTTGAAAATTAATCGAACATCGAGCGAATCTATCAAGAAAAATCTACAAACCATTCAACAAATCTCAACGTGCAAAACGTATAACTCATAATTCCTCGATCCATTCAATTGTCGGTCCAATTCAACACCAATAATCGTTAAATAATCGTACAAACAAAATTTTTTAATCTACGTTATGATGATCAACTGTCGCCAACGAATTCGAGAGCGATGATCGTTAAATAATCGTAAAAAAAAAAAAAGAAAAGATCGCGCGTTATAAAAGAACAATGATCACTGGCAATTATAACGTTGATTAAACGACGCGTCTCGCGCCCAATAGATTTCGCAGAGGCTTTTAACAGGCACGCGAAAACGCGGCCCGGCCCCCATAAATCCGCAGATAATGATCGCAGTACGTCTGCGTCCATGGGATCTACGGCTCGCTACGGGACCTATAACTTATCCGCCACCGTATAGACGCATTTGCGTTGCTGGCCGAGCGAACCTACTCACCGATAATGTATACGCGGCGGACATCACGTCCTTCGTGGAACGAGTCCATGGATTTATGAAACAGGAAGGGAAAACAGGAAGGATCGATGCCGCTCCTTTCGATCGAATTTTCTTCGAATCCTTCCCCTCGAATTCGAACGCTAGCAGGTTTAGAAGAAGAGAAGATTACGATAGAAAATTATCGTATCGTGCAATTTATGAAAAATGAAACGTGAAATGAGAAAAAGTTTGAATTCGATGTGTACGCTTCTTTAAAGCATCTTCCTGCTTTGATAATTAATCCTTTTCTTAAATTAAAGAAAATTTTTCGTGAGAACTTCTTTCTTTTTAATTTCTGTTTACATTATTCTCAGAGAACGTTCTTCTTCTGAAGAGCGAAAAACTTCTGAGGAAACCACCACTTCATCAACTTTTGACGATCTTAAAAACAAAAACATCTCTCGAAGAATTAAGAACATTTTCCTTTCGTCCGAGGAAACAAAATTAAACAACCGTTTCCAAGAATAAACCAATTTTATTTAATATTTAATCAAAAACTATATAGAAGTATATATTTTTATATAAAAAATGATTGAGAAATTGATTTTAAGTTAGATATACGTAACTAAATAAGATCTTTACGCACAATCGACATCAAACACCGCGTCTTTGACACCGTTCGATTCTTTCCTCCACCCGCGTACCCGCATTACGAGCAAAAAGCGACAGGGCTTCCTCGTTAAATATTTAATCTGTCACGACGTACTCGGCCATTTATCCGCGAGAGGTGTGGCCTCGTACACACGTGTACACACGAGCGAGCGAGCGTTGAAAGTTTGCCTCGCATCGAGTTGACAAAGTGGTCCATGGGAAGGACAACGTTCCTCCGGGATTAAAGGATTTCCTCTTTCCGCGCGGATCTTCCACCGGAGATACGTAGGTTTCGATGCAGACAGTCTGTCCAGGGATCGACGAGCAAGAATACAACCGGATGATCCTGGCCAGAGGGAGACAAATGCAAATTTAATTAACTGGAGAGGAGCGGATAAGCGGCCACGCGTTTTCTTCCCGCTCGTTCTTTGCGCGGTTTCGCGCCATCACTCTTTATCCAGTTCGATCTGTGCACGGGGCGTCGATGTTTGACGATTCCATTGTTCCTAAGCGTCCCATGAATCCAAAGATTCTTCCTTTTTCAATTACGTAAAGGAATTAATTTGTAGAAATTATTGAAAATGATTTTTTTTTTTCGTGGCAATTGTTTCACATCGAGATTGTTTCAAAGATTTATGAGTCGAGGAAAGTTTGAAATGAAAATCAAGAATTTTTGAATCGTCTTCGATAATTTTTAGAGAAACAATATAGAATGTCGTATCGTAAATTCAGTCATCTGTTTCCCCGACATCCCATTTTTGCGCCTCTGGTTGTTTTTCTTCTATTCGAATGGTTGAAGGATGAAGGGTGGATGCTACTATGTTGCCTGGATGATGGTTCGAGATGGTGGTTACGTAATATGTTTATGGGGATACGTTTTATTGCTGCTTTTATGCGTTAGGTTTGGGGTCACTATCTTTTTCTTTTTACGAATGATAAGGTATTCTTGGGAATATATGGAGAATTTCAGATTGAAAGATTTGGTTAGATTATTTGTTGATTTTATTAAACCTGTTTGCAGTCAAATTGTATATGCATTTGATTATAATAATTGATTAAAAAGAAGTTTAATTTATTGCTTAAGATTCCTTAAAAATTCAAGGCAATTAATAGCGCGTGTATTTAATTGAACTCACGAAATGAAACTTTTTAACAATCTGTTTAAATTTTCAAAAAATTACCAACTTGATGAGATAAGCGATTTAACCGGGAAAAAATTTTCTCACGGAACGGAATATTCTCATCTTTTCTTTGATGAGAAAAGATACATAAAGAATACATAAGAGAACAGACTTATTTACGCAAGCGTGAATTTAATTCTTAATTAAAAATGAATTTCCCACGAGTGACATTACAAACAAACCATCATAAAACTTAATGAAAAATCTGAAGATGAATAACCGGTGTATTTTCAAGAATTCATTTTCCAAAAAAAAACCAAAACGGTTGAACACCTGAAAAAAGTTTCACGCGAGAACACATTGTCTTTCCACGCGGTACGTAAGAGATATTGGCTTCAAGGGAAATATTAAAATCGTAAAAAAAAAAAGAAACAGGTTCCTTAAAATTTCCACGCGCTCCAGATGTTTCCTCCCATCCCTCTTGCAATTTGTGTTTCATTAAATTTCTTTCTTCACGCCTCGGCCTAATACTTAACCGCTTTGGTCGCCGTTTCGAAAAGTTTATACGTGTATTTGAAACCGACAACGTGGCCATATTTCGTGGAAAATGGATGAACGAGAGGGGAGAATTGAATTCGAAGGGTGGTCGATGGAAATTGAGATGGCGTGACT